GCAGTAGCAGTAGCAGTAGCAGTAGTAGTAGGAGGAGGAGTAGTAGTAGTAGTAGTAGTAGTAGTACTAGTAGTAGTAGTAGTAGTAGTAGTAGTAGTAAGAGTAGTATTTTTTGTCGTAGCCTTGTAGTAGCGTTTCTCGTAGCAGTAGTCGTCGTCGTCGATATAGAAATTAAGTAGCAGTAGCTGGGCCAGCAACATCTGCAGCAGCAGTTCTGACATGCTCCGCGCACCTTACTCCGAATCCTAAGCTCTTAACCCTACACCCCTAAACCCCTAAACCCAAAACCCTACATGCTGTGACAGACCTCCGGCGACATCGCGCCCGATCTGCCCCTCGCCTTATTTGCTCGTTGATACACTCAAGGATTGAGGATTCAACGGTTTCTGGGTCTTCTGGGATTTACAGATGCACTGCGTGAAGCCCGTGCACCGATAGGTTCGGAGCTTTCGATTCGTCCCCCATACCCATAGGCCCCTAAGTAGTTCTTTTTGTGGTTTATATTTAGAATCCTATAAGGTAACCCCAAGAAGGAACTACTTAGGGGCCTATGAGTAGAGCCATAGCAGAATATTTCCCAGAACCGCGGCTTACACAGGCACCGTATAGTTTAGCTTCCATCAGGCGTGTGGGCGGGTCTGCACGGGCGGTTTTCCTAAGATCTCAAGCTGTGGTGGTTCACGCTGATTACCATGCGACCGCCGACCGCTTTAGTCAGTAACAGTATGTCTCAATGACTGCCTTTGTTTCGAAACGTAGGCGAGTCAATGCTGCATTATCGTTCTTACCCATAGGCTCCTAAGTAGTTCCTTTTTATGGTTTACATTTAGAATGCTATAAGGCCATCCCAAAAAGGAACTACTAAGGAGCCTATGGGTACTAACGAATTAGGCTTCTGGTCTTCGCGCACCGACGACACCCAGCATCAGCAGCATCACCATTGTCATTTTTCACCACCTTGCATTGTTGCCGTTGTCATGAAGAGCAGTAGTTATTAACAGCCACGATTCCAATTAGATGTAATCTGAATCCCTCAATCTTGGACCTAGATTTTCAACTTAAGCCCTTCAGCCTTACCCTAAACCCAAAGCCCTACAACATTTAATCGAATCCTTAGAAACTGTGCCTCTAGCCCCCGGCCCCGGAACCTCGAAGACCTGAACCTCCGGCCCTCAACTCTAGACACTGAGCCCCGGCCTGAAAAGTTTAGGGTTTGGGGTTTATAGGGTTTAGAAAGTTTAGGGTACTTCAAAGTTTTATCGTTTCTAAGCTTAGAATCTCAAACCCTGCACCTCAAGCCCCAAACCCTGCACCCTACAGCGTATGCCCTAAACGGGCGCGGCTCTCTTTTTAGAACTCTGCCCTGACCTGTTCTGCCCTGCCCCTACCCTTGGCCAAGTCTCCTCCCATCCCAGGATTTGCAGCTTCACGCCCCTTTCCCCCCTTACCCCCCGCCCCTCCCCCTTCCCCCCGCCCTGATTTCAGGTTTTTTTTGCCTGTATAGGAACCTCCCCGACCCACCCCCGGCCTGCGAGTGGTGGGCGGGCAGCACCTAGAGACCTAGATCAAGCAACACCTACAAACCTAAAGCCCTGAAGCCCTGGAACAGGTCATAGACCCTGTAGATCATAGAGTTCATCCCCTAGTCAGCTGCAAAGCTAGTTCTCAAAACAAAAATATCAGACTGGCACCATATCCCAAAAACCCTGAAGCCCTGCGCCCTGAGATCCTTGAGCCCAGTTATCGCACCAGCCTAAAGGTCTGGAATGCCTAGCAATATTATTCCTTAGGATTTAGGGTTTAGGGTTTAGGGTTTAGGATTCGGACTAAGGAAGCCTGCAAAACTTTTTGGAACCCTTCAAAGGAACCCCGTTCTAGTCCTTTCAGGCCGCTGTGCTATCTCATCAGGCCGGTAGCATCTCCCGCAAATCTTAGAGTCTCGACCCTAAGCCCTGAAACCCTAAACCCCGACACCCTAAACCCTGAAACCCTAAAGCCTAAACCCTGAAATTCTAAACCCCTAGGGCCCTTTAGCCGAGTTCTCTCGTCAGGCTGGCACCATGAGCCAGGCAGACCACTCCTTGCCCTTGCCGGGCTCGAGGCTGGCGATTTGAAGCCCGCTTAGTTGTTTTTGTTGTTTTCAAAAGGTGTGTAGTATGTACATATGTCCGTATGTATGTATGTACGTATGTACGTATGTATGTATGTATGTATGTATGTATGTGTGTGTGTGTGAGAGGTGGGGAAAAGGTTTTACCAGCAAATTGCATGGGGCTTTCAGGGGTCTAGGGATGTTCTAGCCTTGAAATGTTTTGGAGCGTTTGTGAGTAGTTTAGGATTTTGGGTGTTCACAGCTTTGGTGGCTCAGGGTCCAGGGAATTCTAGAAGTCTTAACAATTTCGTAGCAATATTCTGGTCCCCATCTGCAGTTATAGTGGGTTTTGCCCTTACACCCTACTCCAATAACAAAGGCCCTAGTACCATGGGTCGCGGATGTTCGGGGGAGGGAATTCTTCAACTTCTAGGTTCTGGGTTTGGATGACATGATTGCTACCCCAAACCCTAAACCCTCAACTCCAAACGTGAAACCCTCAACCCTAAACCCATCCTAAACCCCCTATTGAGGGCGTAGGGCTGTTGAGGTTTAGGGTTTGGGGGTCAGAGCTTGCGGTTTAGGATTCACTGTTTCGGAGAAGCATTGGATCCCTGGCACTTCCGTGGGTTGGGCGATGATGCTTGCAGGTCTTATGGCACGTCCATAGGCTCCCTGAACACCTTGAAACCCTAGAAACTAAAAACCTGAGCCCTTGAGGCTTGAAACCCAGAAAACAGCGACCTGAACCCAAGCCCCAAAGCCTAGGCCTACCCATGAGCCCCTAAGTAGTTCCTTTTTGGGATTACGTGATAGGGTTCTAAATATAAACCATAAAAACAGAACTACTAAAGGGCCTATGGGTAGGGCCTAAACCCCAAGCGGCCTCTGCTCGGCATTGTGTGTCTGCGGCTGGCTCCCGGCAAGTCTCAGACAGGCGGCCGAGTGTGGCGAGTTGCCCGTCTTGCCTTCCATTAAATCCATATGCCCTAAACCCTAAAACCCTAAACCCAAAACCCAAAACCCTAAACCCTAAACCCTATGCGGCCATGCAGACGCTGGCGCCAAGCGACGGGTGTTTCTGGCCTTAGGGTACCAAACCCTAAGGGTCCAAGTACCTAATAATCATATACTCTCCCAAAAAGTAGCCTACATAACTACTATCCGAAACCTAAGTACCTAAATATTGGGTCCTTTGGACCCTTAGGGAAACCACCCGAGTTCGGAAACCGGAATTTGCGACTTCAGTTCCCAGTGCCGCGGTCTCAGGAGCCGGCGCGAAGGCTCCAAGCCGCTGAAAAAGCCTCGACATTTTCGAAACACTTGAGGATCACGGCAGAAATGAACCTTGCACACCGGGCCAGCGACTTTTTGCAGCGATGGGGGCGAGAAGAAAGAACAAGCTGCCACGAGTGTCGGCACCTGATCTTTTGCGTTTAGGGCGTCTTGTCGGCCTACTACCAGCCGCGAACCCTGCCCATCAATCCCAAACACATATAACTCTCCACAAGACCTTGCACAGCTCCTGAAGCCCTACTGTCAAACCCCTCTCGATGAAAAAGCTTAAAGACGCCCTAAAGACCTGGAGCCCTGCAACCTACCTAGAGTCTCTCAAGCTCCAAGCTCGTAAGCATGTCGTAAACCCACGCAAGCCTCATATGACAGCAGCAACCCAAACAATTCGTGCAACCCCTAGTAGAATAACCTAAAAATAATACCAGAACCCGAAAATCCCCCAAACCCTCCCTAAACCCTCTTGCCCTGTCCACCCTTCAAGCCCCTAACAAAACCTCCTCAAACCCCTAGACCTTAAATCCTAAATCCCAAAGCCCTAAACCTTGAACCCTAAACCCCAAGGGGTTTAGGGTTTAGGGCTTAGGGTGATATAAATCCTGCAGTACCTTAAGGACTGAAAAAAAACATGGGCATTATGGTATATTCCTTATTATGGGGTAATGCAGGATGTATATCATCAACAGTACGATAGAAATTCCGTAAGGTTCCAAGTACATGATGAACATATACTGACCTGCAAGACTACTACAATAAACCCCAAAGCTCTAACCCTTAGGTCCTTTAGACTGTTGAATGGGGTATTTCGCAGCAGAAGCACCAACACAGGTGCTGCTATATACCATTCTCACGGGGACTTCTGTGACTACTCGCCGACAGCAGCAGCGACGGCGACTACCACTGCTACCACCACTGCCTCCATCTGGCCTTGCTGTACCTGTCAAGAAGGCCCTAAACCCTACTTAAAGGATCATGGGACTTAGTAAGTAGGGTTATAACTAAGGTAACTATACTTATAACCCCAATTAGGGCGCTTATGATCTTACTTACTAAGTCCCATGATCCTCCAAGTACGGCAGTTGGGGCAGCCGGCTTAAAGGTTTTGGGCTCAGATTGTGCGCACATTTTTGTCACTCACCCCAGAAGTTTATGAGCAACCGAGCCAGAACCGAGCCAGAATTTCAACCCCGTGGAATAGCTATCCAGAGTCTGCTTGTTCGGGAAGTCAGATCTGCACGCACAGATCACCGGCATGCGGTGGGGATTGCATGCTACTTAGCTGAGCCCACGCGCACCCCATCCGATAACTTAGGTAGAAGCAGGTGCCATACAGTTACCGGGCGCAAGCGCATTACCATCAGGACACACGGGTGATGAGGGTGTGGGAATGATCTTTAGAGTGGTAGTTATCATGATCTTATAACAGTTCCCATCATATAGTTCTGGGGTAAACCAACCCCTTGCTTGAGATGTTGAGGCCCCCTTGGCACACCTTGTCCGCCTTTTTTTGGCGTGCAGCATATCCTATAGCGATATGACGAAGACAGCTGAGCCTCGTGTGAGTTTCTCTGGTCCAAGCTTCGGTGAGCGAACGCGCTCGACTTAGCTCTCAGCCATGTCCGTGTGTGTGGTGGGCAAGAACAAGGCTGCCTTCATGGACGCGTGCGCCAACGCCGGCGGAGCCTTGGCGTGTACAGTAGCAGCACTCCTCAAGACTAATAGCAAACTATTGGCGCATGGGCCAAACCATTCATCGATGGAGGTGGTTTGATCTTTCACACTTGACGCGTCGGACGACTTGCCTGTCCATTCATGCATCATCCATTTGCCTATCTGTGTCGCTCCACGGCTTAATGTCTGTATCTCGTGACCAATCTGTCAGTCGGCTTGTCCAACGGTCTTTGTCAGTGACTTGTCCGTCCGTCCTTCCCTCCAGTGTGAAATGTTAACACGAGCGCATGCGACCTAGAGGGGAGGCAGGCTCCAATATCTCTTCCCATGTAAGCAAACAGCAAGGCTAGAGTTTACATAAGAGTAGGAAACCATCTCGGAGATCAAGATGCCTAAAGAAACATCGCCAAGCGTGTGTCCCTTTCCAATGAACAGTGGTGGTATGGCACTGAACAAGACTGACTTTCGAGACTGTTTTCCAATGTCTTCAAATGTTTTCAAGGTCTGGGAATGAAGCTCACGGACTCGCTCGATGGAGCTGCTGGCGTCATCGTGGTGTGCGATCTCGTGGAGGGCATCACTATCGAAGAGGAGACCGAATTGCGGCGGGCGCTCCAAGCCGGAGCCCGGGCCGCCATCTTCGTGGACAACTTGGACAAGGCGATGGAGAAGACTGATCCCGAAGGTGTCTACCAGGCGTGTGCCCGGGCCATCGACAACGTGAACGTGATCCTCTGCATGTATTGCAGTCCTAGCACCGGAGATCTTCAGGTCTATCCTAACTTCAAGGGCGGAGTGGCGTTCGGCAGTGCTTCGCAGGGTTGGGGCTTCACGGTGCGCCACTTCGGCAAGATGTACGCCAAGAAGATGGGCGTGAATGAGAAGTCGCTGTGCGACAGACTCTGGGGCGACAACTTCTTCTGGGCCGAAAATAAGAGATGGGTAGTTGAAGCGTCTCCACGCGGTGTGAGCCGCCCGTTGCCAAGGGCATTCTGCCAGTTCATCATGTATCCCATAGTCCAGCTCTCGCAGGCCATCCTGACCAACAACTCCAGGTATGAGCAGATGCTGACAGCCATGAACATCTCCTTGAGTACGAGTGATCAAGGGCTCACTGGTCAGGCTCTCTTGACTCGAGTCATGCAGACTTGGATGGCCAACGATCATCTCAGCCTGCTTCTCGCTCCTTGAGTCATGACCTCATTCAACAAGTTCGACAAGAATGGTGACGGCCGCATCTCGTGCTCCGAGCTCTCGGCTCTCATGCAGCAGTTGGACCCCAGCTGGTCCGGCGGCGACCTCACGAAGCTCATGGCCCAGGCGGACGACAACGGGGACGGGACCTTGGACCCGGAGGAGTTCGTGCAATTCGTCTTTTCCCCCAGCCGCTGAGTGGCCGGAGGTAAGCGACTTCGGCAAAACCATGCCGGTGGATCGAAACGCTCCATTGGCCTGTTCAGCCACCCAGTGGCTCCTTCAAGACCTTTTCTTCACATTCTGAACTGTTTAGACTGTCACAGGCCGCAGCATGATGGTGACTGCGAAGTGCATTTATTCATGCAGGTGCAAATGGTGCTTTGTTTACTGGGATGCTTACATGTCGAGACAACATGGGATAATGTGCGTTTGTTACTTGGGCACGGGGGCTCCCATGCACACACTGCGGTTGCTAAGACATGCAGATTCCAGCACCACCTGAAGGCTTCTGCAGCCTTTG